AGAGAGAGAGAGAGAGAGAGAGAAGGGAAGGAAGAGAGGGTCTTTGGCAGTGCAGCCAGAGGGATGACACTGGTAATACCCCACATGCTGAATGTGCTATCATGGGCAATGCCAGGTATAACCTTACATTTGTAACAATTATACTTTTCAAGCACGATATGATCGTGTGAACGCCTCAAAGTGTAACTTGTTTAGGGCGAAGTGGCCTCAGTCTGTGGCCACACTGACACTGGGACCTTTTCTGCGGATTTCTGGACGTGATTGCTGTCAGATACATCCGGGTCCGGCTGTAATTGTTGTCTGATGCATTTAGGAAAGGGATGTGATAGTGCTAACCCTGCTGTGTTCACTGTGTGGTGTGGCTGCATTGTTGGTGTTGCCTTCTGCTTCGCTGCACCGCTGCCTTGCTGCCCATGGGCATACCTTGCCTTCCATGTTCTTTGCCTGTGTGCAGTGTAGTTTGGCTGCTTTGCCAGTGTTGCCTTGTGCTCTGTTGCACCGCTGCCTTGTTGCCCATCCGCATAGCTTGCCTTCCATGTTGTGTGCCTGTGTGTAATGTAGTTTGGCTGCTTTGTTGGTGTTGCCTTGTGCTCCACTGCGCCCTCGCCTTGCTGCCTATCTGCATACCTTGCCTTCCATGTTCTTTGCCTGTGTGCAGTGTAGTTTGGCTGCTTTGTTGGTGTTGCCTTGTGCTCCACCTCACTTTTGATGTGCTGCTCGTCTGCTTGCGCTGTCGTTCATGCAGTTCGTTTTGGTGTTGTGCGGGTATGTCGCCCTGGCAGCGTTGCCTGGTGATTCGCTGAGTTGTTGCCTGCTGCCTTGTTCTGCTTGTGTCAGCAAATGCAGCAATCACGAAAAAGAGCAGACGAGACGACGTACTGACATGGAGTACCAAACCACAGGAACTTCAGGGAAGAGAGGGAAGAAGAGTAGGAGGAAGAAAGTCAAACACAGATAGAGTCTGATAGCATCCCGAACGCAACTTCTTCATAAAGAATAGGCTT